TGCTTTATTAATTAAACCTGTCAAGAAACTGGGGCCATTGTGTTCTGCTTGGTTCCATCTGCAGCAGGCCCACTGGGCTTCAAGTCTGTCCACCAACTCGGGATGTGAGGACGGGCACAAAACCACCCTGGGAATTCCTACCTTCAGCCACACCCATCGGCTCTGCCAACCCTGGGAGCCCTGCATGGTGGGAGTAGGCAAGGAGGTCCCTGGGCACTTGCCGCACATGATTAATCTCATGCCAGTTCCCACCTGGCTACGGTCCTGTATAAATCACCCTGCAGACAGTCCCTGCAGGGACGCAGGCAACAAGACCTACACCTCTGAGGTCACTTTACAGGCCTGCCTGTGTAAACAGCCAGTCCAGATCTCTGGCCCATCTCTCCGTATACATTCCCGGCAGAGACATGACTAGCAGCTGACGTGATCCTACAGTAAGTCAATGTAAGCATGGGGATGGAAATTTTATGAGGTGACTCATGTGGGGACCTGAACATCAGCACAGCTGCTCTTCCTCTGAGCGAAATTTGATGGCATGGGAAAAATAGACACAGTGCGGCAAGAATATAGGTTGTTTGAACAACACCATCAAGCAGCCTGACCCCATCTGCTTTTTTTATGTAATGCAGAACACATTGCTTCTGAGTGCACTTGGGGTCCACAAGGAAAGGCCTCGTACTGCACCACAGAAAAAGTGAAAAGACATTTCAGAAGTGAGAAGCCGGGGACAAACTGTTTTAGGATCACAACAGAATTGAATTAGAGATCCATGAAAACAAAAGATCTAAAAAATCCTTGAACGTTAAAAAACAAACTGCTGATAGAATTTTTTTAAAAAAACCCGTGCTGGCAGAACTCGGGGCTGTGGCTCTGCTGGGGTTGAGACTTGATGGAGGGAGGGAACACGGAGGAGCTGTCTGAGTGGTGAGGACAGAGATGGCTCTGTCCCATGGGGTGTCGGCTCCTCAGGTGCATATGGTCCTCAAGAGTCGTTGTCTTTTCCACTGAAGCTGCACATATTTCACTGAGTACACACTTTACCTCAGCTAAGTAAATCCTGTTACAGTTTCCATCTAGAATGTTCCCCGAAAGCCTCGCGAGGTCAGAGCCAGAGGCTTTGGAAGGCGGCTGGACCCTGGGGGCGCTACATTGAGTTCATAGCTGAAAGTGCTGTAGCAGGTGGGGCCTGGCGGAAGAGGCGGGTCCCTGGGCCGTGGTCTGGAAGGGGTACCTCCCTCCCAGTGCCTTCCTTTGGTCTCTGCTTCCTGGCCACCAAGACATGGGCCTTTCTGCCATGGCATTTCTGCCTCAGATCCAGCCACCTATGGACTGAAACCTCAGTCCTTCACACAGTAGGAAGGTGGGGGGGTTGTGGAGAAACCCCGAGTCCAACTGTAAATTGTAGACATTGGGTATTTTGTTCCAGTAATGAGGAAGTGGCTAAAACACCCTTTCGTCCCTCCCAACTATGACAATGGCACTATGCATTAGGTGGCTACATTCTCCATCCATACCTGTTGTCACAACATACTTTTTAATAGCATCCTCTTTAACGCCCAAAGTGTCCTGGTTTTTGTGATATTCCTCTGGCCCCTGCCTCTGAGGCCCTGGTTACTGGTAGGGTCCAGAGGAGGAAGCCTGCAGGATGCAGGAGGATGGGGCAGTGAGCAGTGAGCACTCGGGTGGCAGGGAGCACTTTGGAGGAGGGACTGCAGGGGCCACGCTGTGCACACAAGAAAATCCATCTTTGCCCTGTGAGGCGGAGGGAGGGAGGGAGCAGGAGCTGCATGGGATCTGACAGACATTAGGGAAGCGGTCACCCAGTCTAGTACAGGTTTGTTAACCAGTAGTTAATGCTTAGTTGGACACAACAGATTTTCTCCACGAATTCTCCCAACCTGCCCACCTTCCTACCATGTGAAGGGCTGTACCCTCGTTTACCTTCACCCATACCAGATGCGGTATTTCCTTTTCTCCTTTCTCATTCCTTTGTAAGTAGACTGAATGCGACCGAGATCATAGGCATCGCCTGGGACATGAGTGTGGTGATCACGTGACAGTGCCCGAGTATGGCTGTCACGTGTGAGCTCCAGGACAGACTGACACCAACTTCACAGTCTGTCGTCACGGTCTCGGGTCTCACTGAGTAAGTAGCAAACCACCCCCAAGCTTAGGGAGTCAGAACCAGCCCTTTCTTATTCGCCCAGAGTCCTGTGGATTGGCGATTGGGTGGAGCAGTTGGGCTCTGATGCACTGGAAGGGGCATGGGCCTCACTGGGTCCCAGCCTGGAGGGGTGGCATCTGTCCAGCACCTTGACAGCAGGCCCATCATCCTCACCTGGCTACCAGGTTCCAAAAGCAGCAAACCTCGAGGGACAACACTCTGCAAGCTTCTGCCTCTGTCCTGTGTGCATGACCAGCTCAGCTGCAAGGGCAAAGGAGTAGGCTTTGCCTCTGGAGCGGGGGGGATAGCAACTTTCCTACCATGTTATTTGTTTTTTAGTCTACTTAAGTCATACGAATAAAATCTTCCAATTAAGTCTGTAGAACAGCTAGCTTTTTCTGAAAGCACTCTCTTGGCTCTTCTTGCAGTGCACACCGGGGAGAGGAGCCCACGTGGGTGTGACCCCAGCAGAAAGAGAGGAACACATCATTTCCTGGCTCTGTCCAATGTTGCTAATCACATGGAAGCTTGCAGTTTGTTGTTCAGAGAAGTAGCATTGGGACATAGACAGTGCCACAGAGCTCTTCGCTGAATGCTATTAGAAGACATGGGGGAGAGGGCTTGGGTTTCTGAATAATGCCAGCACTTCTGGTCTCCACTGCCTGGAGTGTGCAGTGGCACAAGGTGGCATTTGGGTGAAGAGACCCACAGCACCCGTCCAGCTCTGCCTGAGCTGGGTCACTAATGGTCATCAGAGATGCATGGGGAGTGCACTGACTCCTGCCAAGTCCTCCTGGGCCTGAAGAAGCCTTGGGAGTCAGACAAGCATGGGGTAGAGGCACAGGGAGAGGCATGGGAGCCGACACAGCCTCATCACCCTCCTGAAAGTAGACGTCTTTCCTGAGACCAGGTCAGAAGAGCAGAGACTGATCCCCTCTCTGACCTGAGGGATATATAAAAAAAAAATTGTAACAATCCTTAGAGCTATTAGGGGTTTACATAATTTTCCCCAAAGAGAAAAATCACAAACCCCTTGTAGCTACTGCTACAAGAAAACCCTGGAAAGAGGTGGTGAGTGGCTTGGTGCCCAACATCAGGATAATTTTCAACTCCACCTGGGCAGTGTCACCTCCCCTAAACTACTGGCCTGGGCAAGACAGGGAGAGAGAGGGGAGAGCTGTGGTGTGTGTGGCTTACTTAGTCAATAATTTATGTGCTTACCAGTCTAGAGGGAAAGTTTGAGTGACACAGAAAAGCTCCTTGCCAGTGTCTAAGAACTGATTTAGAATGAGTTCTTCAGAGAACCAAACACTCAGGCACAACTGGTTTCCAAGGGAACGTGTTCTGGGGTCAGCAGTGATGACCCCTGGGTGCGATGACCACAGCAATGTGCACGCTGGATGAACAGCTTGAGCATCCAGAGCGATGTGCATGGCAAGGTCTGCGGCTTGGGAAGGCCCTCCAGCCCTACCACTGTGGGCACGAAGTCCAGCAGAGAAAGAGGGTGGGGGCTTTGACTCTGCTCTGGACGTGGGGAAGAAGCAATTACAGGGCACAGAGCAGTCGTGGCAAACTGACGGCATGCGTGCCACACCAGAGAGGCTGTTTGAATGATTGGAAGCTCTAAAAGGTTCACCATCACTGACAGACAGTGTTAAGGAGCAAGTGTCTGTGGTAGGCACTGAAGCTGGATCCCACCAGCAAACCAAGAAGGAGGACCTGGGGCCTGGTTCCCCATCTCCTATCCACCATTGGCTTTCGGCCACTTGCAGGGTCACTCCGTGCCACTCTGGCCTCCCTGTGCCCTGGCTGGGTACACTCACGGCAGGAGAACACTGGTAGGTGGAAGGTTGTGAGTTCCTGTGGTAGGAGGCAGGGGTGGGTGCAGTAAGGGCCACAAAGGCTGTCTTGGTTACTTTTCTCATTGCTGAAACAGAAGAGCCAACTCCCAAAGTTAAAGGGGGGAAGATTATAGCAGCTCACAGTTTATAGAGGTTCAGCACATAGTTGGCTGGCTCCAAGGCAAAGCAGAGGGACATTGCAGAACAGAAACAGTTCATGGCCAGTAGAAGGTGGCAAAGCAGTGAAGTAGCAAAGAAGCAGCAGCCGGCCTGCCTTCTTTCTGCCCCTTTGCATCCACCCAGGCTACCCAGGCTGGGCCTCCCTATTACCACACCCAAAACTATGCCAGGCCCATCAGTGAACTCGTTTAGTACCCACACACCCTCAATCCCAGCATCACACACCCTAATTTAGCCACCTCTACAAAGCCCCCACTATGATGGCAGGAGGTGAGGAAGGGCCAGCATGAACATCTGCTGCATCCCGCCCAAGGCTAGCAAAGGCGAAGCAGCGGGACTTTGGCTTCACAGTTAATAGTTCAGCTTGTTAACTAGTTCTTGAGTGGTAATTCACTGGGAGTTTGGGCTTGCTACTGTAGTGTAACCTGGCTTATTCTGGCTGATCTGCCTGAAAGTAAACCCAAAAGGACCATCCTGGCTATCTGGGAGGGAGGCTTTCTCCTGGTGGTGTGGGTGAAGTGAATGGAAGGTACCCTGAGGGCAGAGGCAGTCACAATTGGATGCCCTGAGAGGCAGCCTGGGCTGGCAGTGACAGGGAGGGTCCAGGCTTTAACCCCTGCCTCCTACCCACTGGTTCTGTGCTCTGGGGAAGCCAGCTAACAACACTGGGCCTTAATTTCCTCATCAATAAAATACAAACAGTAGTTGTAGGTTTTGAAGATCAATTAGTATTTGAAAGCATTTAGAGGAGCGTCTTGCTATTGAAGTGACTGTGGTCTAAACAGGTAAATAGGATGGAGGCTCTGAGAACTCACCATTCACCTGGCACCAGGCAGCCTGGAGATGGTGTTTACTTAGGGGTGATGTGGCTCTCAGGGCAAAGTCACAGGAAATCTCTATGCTCTGCTGGACACCTTCCAGATTCCCTCACAGCACACCAACTCACCTCTTTGGCAATTTAACCAAAAGAAATAATAATATGTTTTAAAAAGTAGAAACAATTACTGAGTGTTAACTGGACTGGATTTGTGTAGGTTCTACCCTAGCTGTTACCCAGAATGCTCTACCCTAGCTGTTACCCAGAATGCACTGCTCAAGCCTATCTTCTGTCAGTGACACCGATGAATGCCAAACCAAGTCTGCCTCCTTCAAAGTACCCCACTGCCTTTCCTCCAAGTTTCCCAGCCTCCCCACTTATGTGTCCAGGTTTTTCCCAGAATATCCATACAATTCTGTTCATGTGGATGCAGTATTAGGGCCTGTCAGTATTGAAAATTCCATCTCCATCTGGATCCATCTGGATCTAGGCACTGACTCTCAAATGAAGGATTCTGAATGGTTTTCCCCCTCACATATGAGAGAAGGGGAGTTGGTGGGGTTTCTACATGTCCCACACAAATTTAACTGTTCTAAGGGGAAGTTACTTCCCATCTGCCTCTTATTTATTACTTTAAGGGATTCCCACAGGCCAGAAGTTCAATTCCCTAACCACATGCTCTTGGCCCCAGTCCAGGCTCTAAAGCCAGGCCACTGTGAGTGATGTGGCTCCCAGCCCTCAGACAGGTCAAGGTCAACATTCCTAAGTGTACTAAGACTCAGGATGTCTTCAGAAGTAATGAGAGAAGACTTTTCTCCAGGGCAGGACATGGGCTGCAATTCGTGTGCCAAAAGCTCCTCCAACTAGCTGGGAGCTAGATTATTTATGCTGGGAACAAGACTTTTGACCAAATAGTCAAACTGAAAGAAGGGAAATGATAATGACATATTTTCTTGGGTTACATGAATTAATTAGGGACATTTTCTTTTTCTGAGACCAGGTTTGGAAAAGCCAGGGTCACCAGGAGACTGATTATTGGCCATGGTGAGGTGGGAATGGTAAAAGTAGTGACTGACCACGCCAAGGACCTGCTCTCCACTGAGGACAGGTCGGGGCTGTCCAGCGGGATAAAGAACCTTCCTTCCAAACACTTTCCATCTGTTCTAGTTCCTTTGTTCCAGGAGAGAGTATATGAACACATGGATTAGCTCTGCTTCTCAGGAGAGAACTCAAGCTAAGGAAATGAAGGAGGACAAAAAGACATCCTTGGGTCAAGGCAGGAAATAAATTGGCCCCTCCTCAAGAATGCTGCCTGACACTCAATCCAAGAGAGAACAGGATGCGGATTCAACCTTTCTCATGGGAGACCCATAAAATAAAGAACAAAATACAAGGGAGGAGATGGAGTAGGAGTCCAGGAAGGACATCGGACTGGAGCTTATCCCAGGAGCTATTCGCCTTTCTTTTCAGATGCTGAACTAAGATGTTTGCTGTTAAAATTTTGTTATCCATAAGGAATTTAACCAAATAGCCCCACGTAACAGAGTCTCTTCCATTGCAGAGAAGAAATGTGCGACCTACCAGCACCAGCAACACGTGTCTGGGTCGAGCTCAGAGTCCATGGAATTTTAGCCCAGAGCTGAGGTTCTTAGATCAGACAGACCTGGCTTTTCATGCAAATGTTGGTGTTTCAGGTGTGTTCTCTTCCACAATTCTGATAAGCTGACCAAAGCCCCATTCTTTTTCATCTGTGGGGTGAGGACAACCACATTTCCCCCGCCCCACAGAGTTACTGTTTGATACATAACATATTTCACATACAGGCTCTCCAACATCACTGATGCTGGTAGCGCTCGGCCTCACATCACAGGGATACTCAGTGCCTCTGTGGGCACCAGCGTTCACTACTAAGAAAGGATGATAAAGGTATTGTCAATTGTCGGCCATGCTGGTACAGGTGGATGAGCCCAGAAGTGAGCAGCCCGTGTCTCCCGCAGGATCACACTCCCAGGACCTCACTGCTACCTCTCCCAGGGGCCCTCGCTGTCCTCTGCACACCTGAGGCAGCTGCTTAGAGGGTAAGCTTTCCTTTCAGCTTCCCAGGGTATCTCATTACTTATTTAGGAAGCCATTGCACACACTATTAGAGAGCACAGGTGCTCTTTTCAAGAAGCAAAATTCACTTAGAAAGGGAAGAGAAACACAATAAAATCGCTGTTCTGATGAGAACAGCTGACCATGACTTTTAATGGGCCTCAATTTTCATCCAGTTTAAAAATGTCCATTTCTTCAACATTTTTCTGCAAACACATTCCTTCAGATATTTTCTTCAATGTATGTATGACTGAAGCCTCCCAAGGAAACATCAGGAAAGATTACTTTGCTTCCCCTATGGAAAAAAGACTCAACCTGGGGGCAGGGAGGAGGGTGAGGAAGAAAGTACAGGCAGGTGGAACCATGAGGGTACTGTCACAAGAGCCCAGGTGAGAGATAAAAGGACCAGGTGACACAGGCCCGGATGTCATGGAGACAGATAGGGAATTAAATTGATCTGAATGAAACGTGTGACATCAACTCAATGAGTTTTGCAGCTGCCAGTTCTGGTCAGCAAACCCTGACAGAGAGACAAATGCAGACACAAGAGGCAGAGAGTATCTTTGCAGGGAGGTCAGGAGTCTTCCCTGGAATGAAGCCTCGAACTAACTCGACCTCCCACCTTCACTGAGAAACAAACAATGATGCTGCATCCTACTGAATATGGGTGCATATTTCAGATTAGAAAAGCATGGCCACAACTATGCTGAAGTGTTGACTTTCTCAAATCGTTCCCAGGGTGTTTGCCCTTGTTTCACCGGCAGGGCTCGCCTCTGGCCGAGCTGGCAGGATACTTCCTCTTCAAGTTGTTCCACCTTCTCAGGTCAGCAGCTTCTGTGCCCAGAGTCACCTCAAGCAGCTGTTTACCCATTGGGTGCCACATGCCATGGGATCACATAGCACCATGGGTGTGAATGAACTCCACTGTGGTGAGCTGAACGCTCTTAGGGAAGACAGAGATAAAGACCAAGTACTAGGAGATCCTAGGCAGAAAACTCTAGGCAGAAGATGAGCCTACAGCCAAGTGAGGCATGTCCACAGAGACAGACAGAAAACCAGGCGAGTGTACAGCCACAGCTGTCAAGGAGAGAAGGTGGCAGGGATCTCCAAAAGGGGAGCAGAAACCATCTCACCAGACCATCTTTGAGAACTAACATCTGAATCTGCCCTTTGACTATTTCTTTAACCCTAAGGATTTAGCCACCTCTGCAACCTTTGTAACTTCCTGCACCCTAGCTCTCTGTGTCTTTTCCTACCCCACCGCCTCTTTCTCTCTCCTTCTACCTTTACCCATCTTCTCCTTTTTTCTTCTTCTCCTCAGTCTCTCAAAAACTTGCTCAAAATGTTGTCCTAGATCTTCACATCGCAGAAGCCTTATTCGATTCATAGCCATTTACATTTGTAGAAAACAATCGATCTGAACTTAAACTGACAAGGACAGGACCCACAGACCATGAAAGTTATTATTGACTACAATTTTATAAGAAGAAAAACATTCTTCCTAAAGTTGGATGTTCCAAATTTGATAGGAAAATTGGACTAATAGAATAATGAATATTGGCCACAAAAGAAACCTACAACCGCAGGAACAATGGTGAATGGAATTACACTATGAGAATTCTGATACCGGCCTTCGTTCAAGGCTCTTCCTAACAGACAAACAGAATTCTTCATGATAAAAATCATCTCAGAAAAATGCAGGAAAAATATTCAGTTCTAATACATAGAAATCTACATTTTGTGTATAGAGAGCTGAACAAAGTTTATATTTAGTCTAATAAAATTCACTCTCAAAAGTTACTATTTCATAGTTAAGTCTTCAATACTCTTATAACTCTGACTTAAATGCTTCCATTCAAAACATAAAAATCCCTCAGGTCAAAACCTTACATCAGGGCTCAGGATTTAGCTCAGTGGTTCCACTGCCTGCCTTACATGGAGCCCAATTTACTTGCATGGAGTTGTGTACAATTTAAACTGTTATTTTTCTCTTTTCATTTCTAGTGTCATTTGCATATGTTCTTTCTTCCATTTGTGCCTCTCTTATTTGAGTTCCATTCAGAAGATTAATGTCAACAACTGGGTAAAGCAATTATACGTATGTGTGAACATGACATTTTATGTATAGTAGGAAGCTGAAATCATTGCAAGTAAATAAATATGGTCACAACCAGCACATGAAACCCTTTTCCACCTGTCCGGTCTGCCCAGTCTACGTACATACACTGAAGTTGGGAGTTTCTCTCCTGGAGACCTCCGTGCTCTGTTACAGAACAATGTTCACAGCGAGACAGTTTCTATGGCTTATATGGATTGTTTTTAATTAGTGTTTTTTTAATAAGAAAAGGAAAACATTCTCTCTCTCTGAAAACTGGCCTGCGTGTCTGGGGATTATTTTCTTCTTTGCTCTGTGATTCACCGTATTATTTTAGGCGCATCGCACTGTCTGCTCCTCGCTGTCTCAGCCTTTGAGCGAAGCCAAGACAGTCACGTCTTGGGGGATAGGTTCCCATACAGCAGTGCGGATCTGGAAGCCATGTTTGTGCTCTGTCTGCGGAAGGTGGACCTTGGGCCTCTTCCCCATCCCGTAGGACCAAGAGTCCAACTGCCCGCAGGCTGGAATTGCAACCCCTGGAGGCCTGGGACACCCCCAGGGGACAGAGGTAGGGTAGGAATTGTCCCCTATTGTTGAACCCCAGAGCTAGTGATGAAGGACCCATCTGAGGAAAGGGAGGCCTGTTTGGTTCCCTGCAGGCACCTGTAAAAATCTTGGGGACACTGCAATGCTGCCCATGATGTTCATGGGCAGTGGAGTGAAAGAAGCAGGGGACAACGGCAGGCAGGCCCTCCAGCTGTCAGGGCTGAGCCCCCCATCACCGCTCTGAAGCCAACTCAGCAGGGACCCTTAAGGCCAGCTGTCTATAACTGCTAC